ATGCAATTCATGTCAAAATATGCACGTTTATTCATTTATTTCCCACCAGCCGGATAGTTTGTTTTGCTTAATAAATTCGTTTCGGCTTGCCGTTTAATAATAAATATAATTTTGTAATAATAAATGTTATTTATAATGAATGTCACTATATATTATTTTAATTTTATATTTATATTTTTCAGTCTTGTTCTATATACTGTTAAATTGAATGAATTTCTAATGTTTAAGTATTTAAATGGGTATTTGTTTTCTCTTAAGAATGCAGATCATCCAGAATCATTTATATATATATATATATTTGTCACTTATGCCTTTTATTATGATGCAGGATTGGAAAAATATCACAAGCTGGGAATTGAACATAAACTTTTTGCGCTATATGTTCAGTCATAATTATATTTAAAGCAGATTTGTATATTTTCTGTGTTTTGTTTTTTGTGCATGATGTCACAGTGCTCTCGGTGGTTGCTAGGGTGTTGCTATGCAGCTGCTGAGTCAAACGAGTCTGTGGTTTTCAGATCTGTGTAGATGAGTGAGTTTTGTAGGGTTGTGATCAGGTTCTGACAGGGTTTTGATAAGTGATTTCGCAGATCTCTGAGAGAGAGAGACAGCGGAGGAAATAGTGAGCCGAATCTCTGCCTCTGATTTGATAAATGGACAGTTATTGCTGTGGCAAATTGTCCCGAAAGCAATTGGATCCCATCAGCACTGTGATAAAACCAGCGTTATTGATCTGTGAGAGCTGATATAGTGCATACATCAGGCAGAGTCGCAGAGAGACATTAAACACACACACACTTTAGATACACTTGAGCCACGAGTGTTATTTTAGTGTCATTGATAGTTGTTGTGTTGGATGTTATGTTTATCTTCACTTTAATATTAGTTAAAGTTTTAGTAATTTTGTTGTGTGTTTAAAATTATTTATTTATAATAATTATGTATTAGTACTTAAACTAAATGAAAATTAGACATTTTGCTGTGGCAACTAGATGAAATCTTTTCTACTTAAGTAGTGCAATTTATATATTAACACATTAAATTGATCAAAAGTGACCGTAAAGACATTTATAATGTTACAAAAGATTCTATTTGAATTAAATGCTGCTCTTTTGACCTTTCTATTCATCAAAGAATCCTGAAATATGAACTGTTTTCAACATAATTAATAATCATAACTGTTTCTTGAGCATCAGATCCTCATATTAGAGTGATTTCTGAAGGATCATGTGACACTGAAGACTGGAGTAATGATGCTGAAAATACAGCTTTGATCACAGGAATAAATTACACTTTACTATATATTCACATAGAAAACAGCTGATTTACACTACAATAATATTTCACTGTTTTTACTGTATTTTTGATCAAATAAACACAGCCTTGATGAGCAGAAGAGACTCTTTCAGAAACATTAAATCTGAATTATTCCAAACTTTCGACCGATGTAAATCCCAGCAAAAATCTATATAGTTATTGTGAAAATCACTCAGCTTTTGTGTTTTATTCATCATTGATTAAACTACTAATGATTTTATAGATCATGCCGTTAAAAACAATGACAACATTTTTAGACATTGTTTTAGTCTTTTTTCCAGACATAAACACAATGAGACTGTCATTGAGTTCGAGACGGATGTGAAACGACACACACAAAGGGTTGATTCTGGTGTGTGCTCTCAGGGACTAAAGGTTATTGGTGGTGATTATCTTCACTAATGTCATTACGGGCTTGTGTCCCGAGACACAGAGAGCATCACGGCACACGTACATCATGGCACACGCGTGTTCTTTTGTTACACACGGGAACAGTCGTTCTCTTCCTCTGGTCTGGGTTTCATCAGTAAGACACTTGAGCCGGTATCATATAGTGGCGAATTGACTGTATTCACTATAAAAACACCAGCTCTAGTGCAAATATAAAGAACACAAATGTTGATTTTAGGAATCAGATTCGTTAAGGAACTTTAACTTTGTCTCTCTCTCTCTCTCTCTCTCTCTCTCTCTCTCTCTCTCTCTCTCTCTCTCTCTCTCTCTCTCTCTCTCTGTCATGTTTACTATTTCATCCAGGAATCATGAATGATTGTGTTCAGATTTCTAGTGGTTGAGTGTGTGTGTGTTGAGTCTGATCGGCTGATAATAAACGGGATTAAATATGAGTTATCACACATTCACTCTCAAGGATGCTGTGTGTGTGTGTGTATGTGTGTGTGTGAGACATCCTGATGCCTTTGAAATGTTCTGTCTCCTGAAGGACAGTGTGTGTTTGACACGTGACGGGACGATTTGTGTGTGTCATTTGTCATGATAGAAATGTGTTTGTGTAAATGTTGCATGTTTCTTTTTGTGCATCAGTTTTTCAAGTTATTAGTCAGTAAGTAAACCGTTTACAATGTGACAATGTTACAGTTTTATTACACTTTATCTGTTTGCGTCTGTAGATTACAATTTCAGTACATATCTTTAAAAGCCAATGAGTTTTGTCCTCCACTTCAGCAACACTTACATACACCAAAACTTAGTTTTATTCATATCTATATATTCTGAAGGTTTTTACTGAAGGGTTTGGTTAAAACATCATTTGCTTGATTTATAAAGCATTTTATTCCTTAAAACATGGTTAAAAAAGGATTTTTTCAGTCAGTTTACAGTATTTTCTGATTAATGGAGTGATAAAAACAACGATAGTGATCAAAAATTCCTTCAATAAGTTGCTTTGGATTAATTTACACAAAATAATCACAGCTGTACTTGCAAACCGGTATTTTTAAAATATAAGTACAATGTAAAAATGCAAGGTTAGGTAATAGCATTTATAACTAGCGCTATATATAAAGACAATAGAAGTCTATGCAAAGTCCCCATTTAGATGGAAAGCGTGTGTCTGATACGTTTCAGGACAGAACTGAAGGATTGTCTTTTACGCAGCTCAACACAAACATATTCCTGCTGTAATGACGGTTGACGATCACACACACACATGTTCGCCGGTTGCCATGGTGAGTGTGTTATCGTGCCCGTCTCTGCTGGATCTATTCTAACCTGATTTAGTTGCTCCAGCGTTGCAGCAGCGTAATGAAATTAGTGTGTGTCTAATGGTGCAGAGAGACCCTGTCTCACTCTCTCTCTCCGTCATTCTGTCTTTCCTTAGTCTTTGTCTTTTTTTTTTTTTTTTTTTTTAGAAAGGCTTTGCTCTCTTCCAGATCTGCTCTCGTCCGGTCTGTCATTACTGTCTGACTGTCTGTCTGTCTGTCGAGAGTTAATTATTGTCTGTTTTTCTCCTCAGCCATTAGGAGGAAGGAGAACGGCTGGTACGATGAAGAACATCCACTCGTCTTCCTCTTCCTCGGCTCGTCTGGAATCGGTAACTTCTTTTTCCAAGGAAAAATAAGCGCTTTTTTCATATTGAAGGGTGCTTTAGATAAAAGCATCTGCTTAAATGTTAAACTTCTTTTGTTTTGTTTTTCATCCAGATTCAGTTTTGCTTTATAGTAAACGCAGATGGTCAAGAAGTAACGCAGGAGTTTCATAAATAGGGATTTAAAGTCTAATATTATATTCAGAGATGGGTTTATTCACCAGCTGAACATGCGCACGTTTAGTGTCTCTTTTAAGGCCGAGACACAACAGAAAACCAATGGGTTTTTTTCATGCACTGGTCAGTTTTGTGCTTGCATAACAGTATGCTTCCATAAGGGCGTTTATTTCATTGCACTTTATCTATTTACGTCTGTACAATTTCAGTACATATCTTTAAAAGCCATGTTCTCAAAAATGAGTTTTGTCCTCCACTTCAGCTGCACTTATACACACCAAAACTTACAGTTTTATTCATATCGATATTCTAAAGGATTTTACAGAGGGGTTTGTTCATAACATAATTTTCTTGATTTATATAACATTTTATTACGTAAAACTTGGTAAAAATGTGTTGAGAATGGCTGTTATGATGAAGAACATCCTCTCTTCTTCCTCTTCCTCGGCTAATACGCTTTTTTTTTCATATTGAAGGGTGCTTTAGATAAAAGCATCTGCTAAATGTTAAACATTGTTTTTTTGTTGTTCACTCAGATGCAGTTTCTCTTTATAATAAACGCAGATGTTCAAGAAATAACGCTGGAGTTTCATAAAACTCAGAAGTGATTTAAAGTCTAATATGATATTTAGAGACGGTTTATTCACCAGATCCGTGTCATCAGACATGATGAACATGCGCACGTTTAGTGTCTATTTTAAGGCCGAGACACTACACAAAACCAATGAGGGTTTTGTTCATGCACTGGTCAGTTTTGTGGTCTCTTTTGCTTCAATAACATATCTTCCTTCAGACCGGTGTAAAGAAAGTTTATTTTATTGCGCGTTGTCTATTTGCGTCTGTAGATTACAATTTCAGTCCATATCTTTAAAAGCCATGTTCTCAAAATGAGTTTTGTCCTCCACTTCAGCAGCACTTATACACACCAAAACTTACAGTTTTATTCATATCGATATTCTGAAGGATTTTACTGAGGGGTTTGTTCTTAACATCATTTGCTTGATTTATATAACATTTCATTCCTTAAAACATGGTAAAAAATGTGTTTTTTTCAGTCTGTTGACAGTATTTTCTGATTTATGGAGTGATAAAAAAAGATATCCAAAATCCCCTCAGTAAAAACCTTTAACTCTAACATGTCAACAAAATCAAACAAGAGTTTTGTACCTGGCTTTATCCAATGTTCAGATTTAAACTTTATTAAATTAAAAATAACGTTTCAAAAACTTGCAATGCAAAACAAATTATCTTAAAATACTGTGATTAATCGAGTGGGGAAAGTGTTTGTTTCGTGCGCTTTGATTGATAAAGAAATGTTTCTCCTCTCGCCAGCGGCACGTCTGATCGCACGCCATCAATATTCAACAAGTCCCTCCACTTACCATATATGCGTTTATTAAAATTCATAAGAGCGATATTTACTCTCATAGACTACATTACCCTGAGAGAGGAATAAAGGGTGGGAGAGATGATGGACGCCACAACACGCCAGTAAAATAAACACATCTCTCTTTTCCCAATAGGAAGTAGAAATCCTGACAGAATCAAGTCATAATTATGAGTCTGACACATTTATTGTTTGATGAAATGAATTGCATAGAAGCAAATGAATGTTTGATGGCTGTTTGTGCAGGTAAAACCGAGCTGGCCAAGCAAGTGGCGCGATACATGCATAAAGACATTAAGAAGGTCAGTGAAGTCAGTAAATAAACCTTCTTTGGAAATGATCGGCTGCGCATAAAGGGCAAACAACAAGAATCTGTCGTTCTTTTCCTCAGGGTTTCATTCGCATGGACATGTCTGAGTTTCAAGAGAAACATGAGGTGAGACTCACACAAACACAGATCTGTTTCATTGACTCAACTGTTGTTTTTGTTTCAGGTGTATTTCAGGACAGAATTCACAATCTTAGTAACTGAGGTTTTGAAGGCTGTTTTGGTTTGACCAGAAACAACACAAGTATGCAAATGTCATGTGTAAATCACATGTGTGTATGTATCAAACCTCGTTAAACATGTTATTATTCATATTAATCATATCGTTTGTTGTGCATTCATTATTTATACATTTTAATTTGACATATTTATGGTTTAACATTTTTAGAAAGCGTTTTATTTGGATTTATTTATTAAAAATGTTTATTTTAATTGGCATTTTTTTATTTGAACTGTTTTTATTAGAATTATTTATTTATTTTGATTTAGCATTTTTATGATTTAATACATTTTCAGTAAGTGTTTTATTTGGATTTATTAATTAAAATAGCATTTTTATTTTTCAATTATTTTATTAAGATTTTTATTTTAAATGTTTTTAGTACAATTATTTATTTATTTTTCATAAGTGTTTTATTTGTATTTTATTTAGCATGTTTATGATTTAATTAATATTTAGCAGGTGTTTTTATTGGATTGTTTACAGGTTTTTTTGTTTTTTTTTTAATGTAAATTTTTATGATTTAATTACCAAACCCTGATTTGCACTAATATCTACTGTAGTGGCTTGTATCCTGTGGCATCACTGATGCAGAATCATGTGCTTATTGTGTTATGAATTGCATACAGTAATATTGTGTTATGAATTGCATACAGTAATCTTGTGTTATGAATTGTATACAGTAATATTGAGTGAAGTTGAGTTTGTGTCTGTTTCTGGCTTAGATCTCTGCGCTTCTCCTTCATAAGCCGTTTAGTCGTGCTGTTAGAACTGTGACCTTAGACCGAGTCTAAACACACACAATTTAATCACACACACTTATTGTATTGATAGAGGACTGTCACTGTCACTCAGTTTGGCCGGATGAAGAGTGTGTGTGTTTGATTGAATCATCGAGTCGATCTCCTCAGAGGTCAGATCTGCCCAGTTCTCATCTTCTTTGTCTTTTATGTGTGTTTTCTGTGTTTCTCTCAGGTGGCGAAGTTCATTGGTTCTCCTCCAGGGTACGTGGGTCATGAAGAAGGTGGTCAGCTGACCAAACAGCTCAAACAGTGTCCGAACGCTGTGGTTCTGTTCGACGAGGTGGATAAAGCTCATCCAGACGTGCTGACCATCATGTTACAGCTCTTTGACGAGGTACAAACTCACAATCATCTGTGGCTGGGAAAACAAGGATTTGGTATTAGTCAAGTCAAGTTCACAACACAGCTTTACAGAAAATCACGCTGTTAATGTTTATAATATCTTAATATCTTCATGGCCTATTGTCGCATTTATCAGATTAGAGCTAGACGATAATATAGTTACATTCTGTGATGATACGAGCAATTAAGCAGCTGATATTTGCTATAAATATTATTAAAATGATTTATTTTAATTTCATATTTGATGACTCAATTTATTTTTAGTAAGGCTGTTTTTCTTTTTAAATTATTTATTTTAATTTTACATTTTTATTCTTTAATTTTTATGATTACATTTTTTTGATTGTTTATATTTTATCATTTTAATTTTACAATTTATGAGTCATCACATTTTTACTAAGGCTTTTATTTTTGTTTTTATTTTTAAATTATTTATTTTAATTTTACATTTTTATGATTCAATTTATTTTTGTTTTTAATTGCAATTGTTTTTTTTATATAAATTTGTTTGATTTCATTTTTAGTGAATGAGTTATTGTTGAATGATTGATTGTTTATATATTTTCTTTTTTTATTGTTTATATAATAATAATAATAATAATATAATTATTATTTGATAATTTGATATTTCATGGTACATTACATTTTTATCATGGTTTTTATTTTAAAATTATTTTTAAATTTACGTTTGTATAATTATTTTTTTTAGTAGTATTATTATTTATTTATTTTATTAGAGCTTATAGCTGGGCGATAATATAGTTCACATTTTATGATGATGCAAACCATCAAGCAGCTGAGATTTTCTGCATACAATATGTCACTTTATGTGAGTGTACAGTATATATGTGTATTATATATACTCTACTGTATATCCAGCTGTGC